ACATTTCATTTTGGTGGACTGATTGACCGACTGAGAGGCCATATTGTCATGCAGCTGCAAAACCTAAAGACTCCCTTAATGGCAAATGGAATGCATTTATATATTTATAAAGTACAAATCCTGTTCATCCACGTATATTCATACAGTGCTTCAATACAAAGCACATTTTCTATCACACTCCATTCATAATGGGGCAATTTAGGGTTTTGCTGTATTGCCTAAGGACACTTTGGCCTGCAGACTGCAGGGATCGAACCACTGACCCTCTGGTTAGTGGAAGACCTGCTCTTAGATTTTTTTAAATCCTGTAAAGCTACAAAAGTGTGGTCTCTAAGATATCAACCGTGTGAGTCCACTCTCGTCTCCTGCCTCATTGTGGTTGTGGCTGATGAAGAGAGACAGACACAGCGTAGTGTCTCTATCAGCCCCATGTTCTCTTCTTCACATCTCTGTGAGTCCTCATTGGCTTGATAATGACTTATTGTTAGATCTGCTCCCCCACTCTCTTCCTGTCTCTCTTTCACCGTGCAGCAACTTGCTCCTCTGCTAACATTCTCAACAGACACTTTATGTCTTATCGTAATCCAATAACACAACTCTTACCGGGATGTTAAGATGACAAGATGCCCGCAAAAATGCATTAGAAGTGTTATCCTATTCCTCTCATGTAACATTAATACAATTGTCAAGCTTCTCTCTCAGGGAATCCAGCAGGTGCTCTGAAGCAAGTGCTTGGTTTGGACCAAAATGTAAATTAAGCTGAGATTTAAAAGGGAATGATTAAAAAGAAAATACCGCCAAATTGCAGCTGGTCATTCATGGAAAATGCTGTGAAGCTGCTTAGTTTTATGGTGCTGATATGCCTGACGATATATAAGACCAAAGCCAACATTGCATTAGTCAATCTCTTTGCCCTGCCCCAATGATGGCTCTTAGCCACAATCCCATTGATTCCTGCTGTAGAAATAAATCTTTAAAATATGTCAAATATATTTTATTTTTAAAATAACGTAATTTCCTGGAATAGCGGATCATTGATCCCCTCCTGAGGGGTAATATGAATGACTCCAAAGTTTATGAGAAATCCAGCTTATATAGTTATACACATGGTGACACAAGAGGAAGCCTTAAGGCAAAATCAGAGCTGGGTGTGCCGTGACCGAAAAGACCCAGTCTTGTAAAAATCCACCACCATTTTTTTGCCATAAATTGCTTGATGATAGTATCATTTCACCAAAGCCACCTGAGAAGACTGGCACCCATTTTTTTACATTTTTAATTTCAAAGTGACAGATTTATAATATGAGAGTCAGCCACCAAAGGTTATCCACAACTATTCTATTCAAGTTTGATCATGGGTCTCTGTGAAGGCCTATCACAGAAGCCAATAGAGGATTCGTAACTTGCGTCAATTTCTCTATACACACCTAAAACCTGCCGTCACCAGGCCGGTAGTTCAACAAGACGTCTAAAGAAGACAATTTTGCAAACATTCATCATCAAGACGGTGTTCTTCAGGAAAAGGATAGGATAGATAGCGCCGTGAGAACAGACCTATTTCACACTTCAATCATCACTCCCTCATCTGTCAGTAATGTTCCACAATAGCAGTGACCCTCCAGCAAGGACAGCAAGAAAAACAAAAGAAATGTCAGCCAAGATAATGGGATTCATATGCCTTGAACACCAGCCACTGTGTTGTGGAATAATAAAGAAAATTCACACAATTCATCCATGCTATACTCTGCCAGGGTGTTAAAATGTCACTGATTTATGGCTGCCATGTAACTCGTCCCGACATTTAAATCATCTGCCGGAGAAAACAGCAAGAGATTATGGTGTAAAAATTTCAAAAGAAAGCGGATTCAATCTGAACGCCTGCACACCATCACCACGGTGGTCTGTCAGAGGTGAGAAAACCTAATTCACATGTGCATGCATATCTTGCTTTGGCCTAAACAATCGCTATATGAATACTCTCAAATATGGGTACAATTGCTTGAGAATAATCGTTTGGAAGAGTTAACACTATACATATTTGAAAAATTGCTACATTTCTAATTCTCCATTTTACTATTGTTATTATTTGGATTATATTTTAAATATATTTGTATTTTAGAACCAAAGCAAACCAAGTGGGAAACATTCAGCGACTCTGCAGCTTGTTGACATCTTGTCATTAGAGTGACGATATATACGACCTGAGTAATGTAGGGGGGTTTGTTTTGAGGGGATCAGCAGGCAGAGAGTAACAGACGACACTAAACATGAAATGTAGTTATGGTTGCATTTCATTAAAGAACAACTCTCTGACTAAAAGCCATCTGGGTAAACATTCAGGGAGAGATGGCCGTGGAATTAAAAGTTTGATTTATGATTCTCATGTTTCAGTGACTGCTGATTGAGTTGTGTATGCAGTCCAATAAACCTCACAAGGGTGGCCTGACAACCGTTGAGCTGTCTGTCCATCTCTGTTTGTGCTTCTGTATTTGTGAGTCTGTGTCTGTGTATTTGAGGATGTTGCATTTGTTCGCCATTCATAGAAAGAGGAAACAATGAGCATTGTGAAAGGCCTCAAAAACAGTTACATTTCTTGCACATCTTAGTCACAACGAGTTAAGTAATTCACTATTTTGTAAAACTCATTATTTTCGATATTATTACTTTTCATGGTATCGATATGGAAATCACAACACATCTTATTTTGCTGGTATGACTGGGAATTACTTTCTCTTAAATGCTGAACAAACATTTGGTGTTTTACCAGAAAGGGTGGGTCCAGTGAGGTAAACACCAACGATGTTTTATTCAAATCAAATATTTGTCAGACTATGTTTTTACTTGTTTAAGGGTGTGGTTTTCTCTGCGGACAATAAGTGATGAGCGGCAATAGTTAAAAATGTTCCTACATCCTCTGTTGAGCTAAAACTTATGCTAACTGTTTGGAATGTTATCGTGGTTTTACAATGAAACCGGTGACTGTTGTACCCTGATGATGTATCAGTAACATTCAGGATAAAAATTATCAAATTCTAGTGTAGTTCTTCATTGTTCTGCTTCGGATGAGTCACATAGCTAAACCAGGGACTGGTTACAATAGATGTGAGGTATGAGGCTGACCTATTCAATTCACTTCCATGTTATTATATGCTTGTGTCTATGTGTCATTGTGTAACAGTATGGTGCCTGTGCACTGATACATTTTGCAAGGAGGGGAACCCAAGTATCAAAGCGGTAGTATCAGAATCAAGCGGCAAACCACCATGACATCGACCACACCCTCCAACCTACACCTGCAACCTGTTTCCATCTGATATTATTAGATGTCAGTCACATGATCAATTTGACTCTAAATGAGACCATCATTTACAAAATGAACATCATGCTGTATTGAAGATTTGAAACTTACATTTGAGATGATAAACCCCTTGGGAAAATCTTTACTGACTTTAAAAATCAATTAGGTTAGGGTCATTTTCTCAGACTTCTATAGATACAGACTTATTCTTGCAACCAGTGGAGTCGCCCTCTGCCTGTAATCCAAGAGAATGCAAGTTTCAGTCATTTCACCTTGGCTTCACTTTCAGTACCTGGAGTCCACGTCCGTTTTTATTTTATTTTATGATCCAAATTGAAACCTAACAACTTTTTTCATTATTTTAATTATTAAGTAAAAATGCGCTAGGAGCTAGTTGAATCAATTAAATGGCTCTAGATGAAATAGATGTACAACTGTGGAGACCAGATGACTCTTAGAATCAACAGGGCTGCACTTGGACCATCCAGTCTGCACCTGGCAGAAACTTGCACGAACCAAAGATGTTATTTGTCCCACAAAGAGGGACACAAGGGCTAACTAGAGGGTTATGTATGGGGTGTTCAGACTCAGGCCCTCAAAGAGAAAGTAGAAGAAGCAGAAACATCCATTGCCTGCTGAGCACACCACTGGAGAGATAGTTATTTACCATGGCTAATGATGATTTTCATATTTTGTGACAGACTGATGGAGCGTTTGCAGATTCAAGCAGAACAATAGGACATTGCTGCCGTCTTGCAGGAGATATTCTGCATGTCCTTCAGAATATCAATCAGCTGGGATTAGCGTTGTCATAATAATGTGTGTTTCCTCGTCCAGCAACGCACAAAACATTGGAAGAGCCCCACAAAGCATTCCCCAACACCACTTGTACTGATTGCTCTCTGCACATTAGAATGCATACTGATCACACCCATATATTAACCGTATTCTGCTGATGGTGGCAGATTATTCTCATACAGCCAGTGCTGAGGAGTGGAGTTTTATTACTGAAATGTTCCCTGTTGTATGAATTGGAATGGGACTCCCCCTGTGACCACGACTTAGAAACAACACTTTGTTGTTCAGCCTTGTAAATATGTGTAACAAGCACATGCACACACTGCAGGTGGCAGTGTCCATGCCGCGTACCTGGAGGGCTTCTTTATCATCCTGCACTGAAAGCTTCCTGCTGCTCCAGAAACCTCACAAAACTTGAAAGTTAACTTTGCATTTGATCTTAAAGACTTCATGAGAGCCATTAAGAGGCAAATTCTTTTCCAAAGTTAAGATTAGATCTATAAAAAATGAGGGTGCTGGGTATCAAAAATTCAAGCAAGGAGACTTTAGTTCGCCCACTGCTTTTTCTCCAATATCCCTCCAGCTCCGTCTACAGCTCCCATTCAGATCTAACACCGCTTTCATGTTTGACCCACTTTACAAGACAGAGACAATGAGTGAGAAGGAGAATGATTAAAAAGACTATGGATGATGAGAGAGATGCAGAAAGTAAGTAGGGAGGAAGAGAAAATGCAGGGGCATGAGTAAAAAAGTGACAGGATGACAAAGGTGTAGAGGGAAAGAGAGAGAGGGGGTAAACAGAAGGCACAGGGAAAGGCGCTCGAGTAGGAGGGGAGTGGGCTGAGCAGGAGGGAGGAGGGAAGCTGGTTCCCTTATTAAAGCGAGTGTATGCGAAAGGAGGTGGTGAAAAACGTTACACTGGGGAGAGAGAGAGCTAGGTTACCAGAGAGAAAGAGAGTGGAAGAGTGAGAGAGTGAAAGAGGGGGAGACAGAAAGAGAGAGAGCGAGAGAGAGGGGGGGCAAAGAATAGAAAGAGCATTGTGTTGCTGCTGAGAAAGAACCCATGTCCGCACAAAGAGGTAGGTGTACTGCTGACTGGCATACGCACACACACACACACACACACACACACACACACACACACACACACGCAGCAGCAGAAAATGTATTCAGGAGTAGGATGTATCAGCAGTCATGTATCAGGTGAGTGTGTGTTCTTGTAGCAGCAGTGCGGGGCAGGTGTGTGACTTTTCCATTGCATGTGCACGTTTGAGACAGGCAGGTGCCTGTGTGTGTCTTTTTGTGTATAGTGTTTGTGTGTGTGTGTGTGTGTGTGTGTGTGTGTGTACACGTGGGATTTAGCAGGGGCAGTTGATGGTCTGTGTTATTATTTTACTCAACACAGCAGCACACTCACACAGAGCATCTGGGTTTATGGTGGTTTATCAGGTAAAGTGCATGTGACTGATGATAATGATCTGATTGATTCAATGCTGTGGGGGGAGGGTTACAGTTTTTATGTCAATATATCTGAACCGTTAACTGCTCCATGAAGCAATTAACTAATTATAGTTGCAGACTTCATGCTCAGTATGAACCAGACTGTGCAGCATTTGTCAATCAGTGTAAAAAATACAATATGAGAGATAAGTATTATTTGTTCATTCAATAGGGTTTTTAAATCGCAAATTTAGATATTTAACATATCTGTGTTCACCCGGTGCAATAAAGGTGAACTTTTTCAATAGGGTTAGGGTTAGAGTTAGGGTTAGGGTTACCCAACTAAAATTAAAGTCCATTCAACTCCACTAGTGCTGAGGAAGCAAATCTCAAAACTCTAAATGAAAAAAGGTTACACACCACTTTTCTGGTTTTGCTTTTTCAATTTTGACCCCTGAACACCATCTGAACCCACCTAAAAAGGTTTGTTTTAGATAACGTAGATATCAGTGAATTCAAGGATGTTTGGACAATCTGAAAAGTGTATGCTAAAGTCAAATTTGCTTATATTATCGGACTGATGACATTCTCTGTCCTGTCAAGATAAAGCCACTGCTTCTCTGTGAAAGTAAACACCATTGTGGGATTTGAATTAGATGTGGGGCTATTATTTCATCCCAGGGAAGGATGTTCAGCAGCAACCTTTGGAGAGACAGTAAATGTCATTATTTTTCCTCTCTGCTGAAGCTTAGGGTCAGTGTCAGTCTGTCCTGTGGGTGAGTTCAAACTGCACTGAACACCACTGAGGACTTTCTTTCTTATCACATGATGCCGTCCAGAGGTTCCCCTTTTACAGGAAGAAGCTTTTTCACTGTGCGGTTTCGCAACAGCCTGAACAGGGGTATTTTTAAAGCTGCATGGTCAGTCATCAGACAAACAAAAGCTTGTCTGATTAATAGGAAAAGGTTGAAGAAAGGGGCTCACTGACAGTTCGAGGACAATGAGTTCTGAGGCACAGCATTGTGTGTTTGTTAGAATGGGTGGGAATTACATAGAACTCTGTAATTTTTTAAAGCAATACTGTAAAGTCCTTTCTGATTTAATAATTGTTTTATTAAAAGTCTTCATTATTAGATTATACCAACAGGTTTGAGCATGTAAGCAACACTACATAGACATAAATAGAATTCTCTTCAGTAGAGCACATACCTCTGACAAGGCCCAACAGTCCCCCTTTCTAATCAAGGTCCATAATTTATTCTCTGAGAAATCATGTTGAGAATTGATGCAAAAATAGAAAAGAAATTCCTGGATCCAGCCTGGGACCTTGATCTGCACCAAAATTAAAAGCATTCTTCCTTGACCTGTACCGCATTCTTCCACAAAGGTTTGTTGTAATTCGCCCACTTGTTTTTGAGTAATCCTGCTAAAATACAAACAAATGCCAGTGAAAACAAAACCTCCTTGTCGGAAATAATTAAGTACAATAAATAATCTGTCTCGTCAGACTTTTGATGTTCACTCCACTGCAATTGTTTGATGGCTGTGATTTGTCATATCAGATTTACATCCAAAGACGGTATCTTATCAAAAATATGACATTTAATTCATAATTCAACTTTCATCAATTCATTCTCCAATTGTTTCTAATTTGGCCCCTTGCACAAAATCCAGATGTGGAACAATAAGTGGTTTGACTTGCATCAAAACAATATATGTCACTGCTGTGTCACAGGAGAATTTTTCCACTCTGACCTTGGTAATTTTACGTTAAGGATTTAAATGCTTGCTTCACCATGGTGTTCGGCAACATGTGGTTTAACCCATGCATTACGTCCTCATGGTTCCTGTACATGTATCCACTCACAGGCTTATAATTTGTTAGAGCCCAAACACCAGAGCATGGCAGCAAATTTACGACCTGCCTCACAGGGACGTTGTTGTCTTGTTCTCCCATCATCATGAGATCACACAGTTGATCCCCTACAGTCTCATCCTTTGACTCATCACTGAATGCAGAACAACAACACTTCTCCTCTCTTTCTCTTCCTCTCTTGTTACACATGTATTTGTTTTTTCTTTATATCTCTATCTCAGATATATGAGCCCAAAGTTTCAGATCAGCAGACATGGCGTCTCCTTAATGTCATACATCGTAAAACATTGACAAATGACCTGACTAGGTCTCAAAACACTATCGGTCAATCGTGACATTTCACCCCATTTTAATAGCATTGAATAATTAATTAAAACCAAACTAACCGGAAAAATTAACACTTTAACATACATTAGTGCGATAAAAACTAACTACCGACAGGACCCATGGATGAGGTACTGATTTATAACTTATACTGTAGCCAACCACCAGTTGCCGATGAAGACACTTTGGCCTCACATTCGGGGAGCTGTCATGTCGTCTATCTTTTTATACAGTCGAAGCTTTATAATCAGGACTTAAAACAACAAGTGCTGAGCAGTGGCAACAGTGGCCTCTACAGCCACAAATGGTAATTAAAAATAAAAGACTGTAATTGCTCTTACAATAAAAATAAAATCATAATCTTAGGTCAAACCAGCAAGAGTAAAGCAATTGATACTGCTAATCTGATTTAGAGTCCTGCACTGGGTTGGGTACCCACAGGTTGCCAGTGATACGTTTTCAGGGACTTTGCTACTTGTAAAAAGTGTGAAGTATCAGCTTTTGATTGCCACAGGCTCGGCACGTCACTGCTGATGAAACACATTGACATCTGCAGGAGCACTGGTGTTGCCAAAATAGACAGTTAAGTTTCCCAATAGATAAGTTTCCAAGAACACAACTCAACCACCAACATGGGAAAACATGGAGGCCATAACTGAGCTGATTTGAGAGACTGTGTTAGGTCGCAGGTCATATGTTAATGGATCAGGCAGGTCAAGTTTTGACTTGCAGAGAGTTGTGGGTAACTGGTCAGTTCTGGAACGGAGCTTCTCAGGTGCAGGTTTGCAGAAATAGACCAGTACATGACTCCTGACTGGCAACATCTGAAGCCACAGCAGTTATAAACAGAGGAGCAGATATGCTAGAAGCAAGTCTCTCTGCCATGATCTTTGCACTGAAAGTACCCAGTTAGCTTCTTACAGCTGAAGGCTCATAGTTGGTTGTGCGTGAAGTTGGTCTGTAAAGCATTACACACTTCCCATGCAAGACTGTACCTACTTAATCCAAGTTACACAGCACAAAAACAGGCATTCAGGGAACATAGTGGAAAACAATGATGAACCATTAACATGTCTGTGTGCAATCAGAATTATTTTTAGTTAGTTCCCTTAAACAAAATATTGCATACAGACTCCACAAATACAGGGTTAGGTTGTGGTAAACATTACACTCTGTGAAGATTAAAGTCTAAAGATTACGGGATGAATATTGTTAATGGTCAACATGAGGCAGGAAGAATGTGTGTGTGTCAGTGAGTACTTGTTTTTATGGCCTTCTTAGGGACCTTCTGCCGGAGAAACAGCAACCTGTTCAGGACCAGTTCACCTTGTGGGGACCAAAGCCAAGTCACTCAAAATGTGATTTCTGAGGTCCTGGTTTAGAAGTTAGGAAGTCAACTCAAAGTCCTAATAAGGATAGCTGCACAAATGTGTGTGACTGTGTGTGTGTGTGTGTGTGTG